GTTCCAGAGAAAATTTGTTGAAATCGATACCCTATTCCACAGTAAAATCGCAGTGCCCCCCCCCCTTGGGGAGCAAGACCACTAACATCAGCAGCAATGATTGTGATGCAACCAATACTGACACCAACATCACTTTCTAATGAATTTTACCTTGTTGCTCACTGTCAAGTTCAGATGCTGCTCTTTCCAAAGCTTCTTGCAGTTGGGTGTATGGAGATGCACAGCTGGCACCAACTATGCAGCTTGAGACTTCTTGTGGTCCTGACACAACTTAAATTTGAATGGAAATATAGATTTAGATATTGACTACAACCTTGCATTAACATTGATGTAACAGTACCACTACACTCTGATATATTTACATTGTAGATCAATGCCAAGTTCAGAAGCTGCTCTATCCAAAGCCTCTTGCAATTGGGTAATTGCAGAAGTGCAACTTTCAATGAAGCCTGAGCATATTTCTTGAGCATCTTTCAAAATATAAAAGGAAATTACTATATTGATTTAGATATGGACTGCAGCACTAGCAACAACAACACTGGCAACAACAACGCTAGCATTCAAAACACTGACACAACCAGCAATGATAACATCAAGATTCTTGACAAGATCAACACTGACAGCATCAGAACATTCTGATATTTTACCATGTAACTCACTTTCACACATATGCAACTCTTTCAAAGCATCTTTGGACATGCAGAAACTATCAAGAACACTCAAGTTCTATTGACAAATGTGCTTATTAATTGTTATATTAAGGACATATTTCCTTCAAAATGGAATTAAAAAAGCAAATGTTTGTTACAAATATTAAAATCATGTACAAGGCATAGGAAACAACCCAACACATCAAATGATATAATGTTCTAGTGATAAGTATTATACTTCCAATCTACCTAGAATAATGCAATACCATTACATACCGAGTGTACATGCTTGTTGGTGAAGGAGGTAACTNTTACCTTGTTGCTCACTGTCAAGTTCAGATGCTGCTCTTTCCAAAGCTTCTTGCAGTTGGGTGTATGGAGATGCACAGCTGGCACCAACTATGCAGCTTGAGACTTCTTGTGGTCCTGACACAACTTAAATTTGAATGGAAATATAGATTTAGATATTGACTACAACCTTGCATTAACATTGATGTAACAGTACCACTACACTCTGATATATTTACATTGTAGATCAATGCCAAGTTCAGAAGCTGCTCTATCCAAAGCCTCTTGCAATTGGGTAATTGCAGAAGTGCAACTTTCAATGAAGCCTGAGCATATTTCTTGAGCATCTTTCAAAATATAAAAGGAAATTACTATATTGATTTAGATATGGACTGCAGCACTAGCAACAACAACACTGGCAACAACAACGCTAGCATTCAAAACACTGACACAACCAGCAATGATAACATCAAGATTCTTGACAAGATCAACACTGACAGCATCAGAACATTCTGATATTTTACCATGTAACTCACTTTCACACATATGCAACTCTTTCAAAGCATCTTTGGACATGCAGAAACTATCAAGAACACTCAAGTTCTATTGACAAATGTGCTTATTAATTGTTATATTAAGGACATATTTCCTTCAAAATGGAATTAAAAAAGCAAATGTTTGTTACAAATATTAAAATCATGTACAAGGCATAGGAAACAACCCAACACATCAAATGATATAATGTTCTAGTGATAAGTATTATACTTCCAATCTACCTAGAATAATGCAATACCATTACATACCGAGTGTACATGCTTGTTGGTGAAGGAGGTAACTCGATTTTTGAGTGATCAAGCTGGTCTCATGATCAGATGGTTTATGTGCTGCACAAGTCAAGGTAACACTAGGTGGAAGTCTGGTAAAGTCAGACATGGATWAGATAATTGCATGCATTTACTAGGTATAGTATAATGTAGTATTCTTTACCTAACACTTGTTGTTGGCAGGTTGTTAGGACTTATATTTGTGCTATCATCTTTCAGAAACACTGAAGTTTCTTGTGACTTTTCTGCAGTCTGAAATATTGTTTTAGAATTATATAAGCTTAATAAGCTTAAACAAATGAAAAAATATGCAAAATTTATGCAAAATAAACGCCGGGTAAATAAATAAGGCACTAAGAAACAAATCAATAAAATAAATATAAGCAGCACAGACAAAAAAAAAAACAGCTTAATCATAGAAATGTGTCTTCGTCGATCTTTATTTTCATGCATCCAGCTAGTCTCTACAAATCTCACTCTCTATCCATCGATTTATCCCGCGAGGCGGCGAAGCAACCCAAATCCTTCAGTCCATCACTGTAAGTACTTTACCTTTTCAACAGTTGTAGTTGTTTCTTGTTTCACCGGAACGATTACTTCTCTCACTCCTGATGAAGGAAACAAATTTTATTACTTACAAAAGTGCATCACAAAAAATTYCATCCAAGCATTTTTGTCCTTTTCAGAAATATATCGCGAACTTTTTGGTACTTACCGGTGTCCTTAGAAACACTACAACCCATATTTAATGGGAGRTTTGTGTTTTAAACGATTTTCAGATACGAATAATAGCTATTYTCTAACTTTACGAAAGTTGTAAACTATCTCATTAGAAAAGAGCGAAATGGTGAAAAGCTCGAGAAAGCGCGCGCTTTTTATACCAACAATWACGTCACGACTTCGTCATAATCAGAATATAAYTCCAAATATGGTTAAACGATGACGTTTTATTAAGATTTATTACTAGTTGCATAGCAACTAACATATTGATTGACACATGCCAAAATATTTGTGACGCGCTTTCATG